GAAAGATTCTTAGAATACCATGGACAAAGAAGAGAAGAAATAGTGACATTCTAAAAGACCTGAACAGCAGGAAACATAGGCTAATAAACAGCATATTGTCTTGGTAGCTGACATCATCATCATCAGGTGCCTTGCCGACTGGCGTGGGCGATCATGCCTCTCCACAATCTACGATCTCTTGCAGCATGTATCAGTTCATGTGCCAACAGACCTCCATGCCATGCAACAAGACTGTCAAGTATCTTCTCTCGCTGTCTTCCTCTATCCCTCCTTCTACAGATCTTTCTAGTAGTCACAACATGTTCCATTTTCCCTCTTCTCATAACATGGCCGAAAAGTGAGGATGGTCTCCTTATGTATGTGATAAGTTGTCTTTGAGTTTTCAAAACCTGTTGGTTGCTCTTTTTTGGCTGTCCAAGGTATTTTAAGCATTCTTCTGTAAAACCACATCTCTGAGGCCTCAAAAAATTGTTTGGCCTGCCTACCGATTGTCCAGAATTCACAGTCATATGTTAAAACTGGATGTTTGTAGCAAGCAAGAATTCTTTTTCTAACTCTCAGTGACAAAGATATATTGCATAAGATGTTCTTCATTTTATAAAATGCAGTTTTTGCCTGTCCTATTCTTTTTTTTTTTAACCTATTAAAGTCATATCAGGCGCCACCGCAGATTGAAGAAAAAATATTAGCCGGAGCATGGTACCTGGAAGGAGGGGCAGAAGCCGACCAGCACGAAGATGGGCACAGGATACAGGCGACTGCTTGAATATGAAAGTGCTGGAGGCTGGAGAGTTGGCGAGAGACCGAATTTCTTTCATGCAGACCGTGATGAGAGCGACGTTCTGCAATGAATCCGCTTCATGATGTGAGTGTGATTCCCCCTTAAATATTTTGGGCCATATTGATGGGACACATTTCAGTTGCATATGAGGAGGCTGTAGGAAGCAACATTGATTACCTCCGATATGGAAGACACTGCCAAGGGACGGGAGTTTTGCTCTGTGTCGAGTGTTTGAAGATGACATCCCTGAGATGGACACCACCTTGACGAGAACATTCTTTGGCTCTGACAGTCATGTTGAGCATAGTTTTAGACAGGGTTTCTGCTGGGATGGTCGCTATCTCCCTTCCAGTGTTGTCCTTTAGTTTATTGATGGTAGTGGGCCATTTAGTGTAACGCGTAACAGTAATTCCCATCTTTACACTTCTTATTTAGCTACATCTAAAAACATACCCGATAGTTTTTGCCGGCAGTAATATACATATAAATGTGGCTCATCAACAAGGCCCACCCTACATGAGATTCCCCCTTCAACATAAACATCTTCGACACCGCCAAATATGTTTACCGGGTAATAATGCCATTTGAAGTAAAGGCGGATTTGATGTTGACATCATTCATCGAGTGTCGAATAGTCTTTACCAGGGGTTATTCAACTAAGTTGACTCAGGAACCAACGTCTGCAAGTGGGGATCGTCATGGCTGAGAGACCTGATCCAAAGCATACAATAATAACTGATAAGAGTACAACTGGCAAAGATCCGCGGCCCAGTTTTTAGGCCTTTGCGGGCAAGATGTGCCTGTCGTGCCGCCAGTTAAAAGCTCTGGCTTATACAAAAATAACTAGTCCATGACTTGTCATAACACTTACTTAGGAAGAAGCCCGGCTGGCTAGCACAGTTGGCTAAACCTGACTGCGCAGCCACTGGGTGACGAATTCTTTGTAGTCCAGGGGTAGGCAGAACAGCCATATTTCTCCCAGATTTACGGTATCTATCATGGAATCAAAGCCGAAGGGTTGCTATATCTATAGTACTGAGCTTGCCCGGCTCTCTAGCTTAGTTGGCTAAACCGGATTGCGCGGTGACTAGGTGACGAACTCCTTGTCGTCTGGGTTCAATCCCGGGGCTAGGCAGGAAAGCCACATTTCTCCCAGATTTACGGTACCACTGCTCCTCAGTCTTCAATCAGAGGCCTGCTCTCTTGATTTATGCGGATTTCAAATAAGACGAAGTGCATTCCAGTGCACTGCATTAAGACATCTCCTTAATATTCTAACTGGCCGGCAATTTAAACCGGGCAAGTGCGTTTGATATTAAACGCTTACGACACGTTAATCTGTGGTTATCAAAAACCGGAAAGCTCTTTCATATTTGTGCCAGGGCTGAAGCATATACAAACATGGCTGTTTTGTAAACATTGAAATCTGCACCATGAAGAGAGATGCTGTTTGTCGGTAACGAAGCCGGTTCGTAATATTTTTTTTTTAAAGGCAGTTTGTCAAGGCGCCATTCTTTTTTTGAAGAATCTCTACTCTGTGATGTTTATTCTAGAAATATTTGCTAAATGTGTGCAGGGAGGAGAACGGGTGAGAGTGTTGACGAAGGAAGAACCCATTAGGAAATCGCTGAAAACACGGATCAGGTTATCGAAGTTTATATAAGAAGCTCAACATAAGCTGGGCCAAGCTGTGAGGTTTAGGGTGCCATTTGCCTTCATTGGTACCTTTGAAGTACACAAAGCATAGCATTTTTTTTAGGCAGTTATATTTTTGAAAATGCAATGTTGGTACTTACACTGGCATTACAGATAATTCTTAAAATTCTCTCGATCAGAGAGAGGGGTGGGTTGATGTTAGAGATACTGGAATTCTGCAACGCCATGGTGACAGTCCCTTTGTGAGCCAATACAATTTTTTTTTTTGCCTTTCATTAATTTCTGTGTTCTGTGTACTCTTTGCCAAGATACCGCGACTTCTTTGCCATGGTTTTCTCTTCTGCTTGCCATGGCTCTCTTTTTTCCTTGCCATATTTATCTGTTCTCTTTGCCGTGGTTCTCTCTATTCTTTACCATAGTTCTCTCTTATCTTTGCCATGATTCTCTCTTCTACTTACCATGGTTCTCTCTTCTCTTTGCCCTTATTTTCTCTTCTCTTTACCATTTTTCTCACTTCTCCTTGCCATGGTTCTCCCTTTTCCTTACCATGGTTCTCTCTCTTCTCTTTTTCGTGGTTTTTTTCTCTTCTCTTTTCATGGACCTCTCTCTCTCTCTTTGTAATTGTTCTCTCTCTTCTCTTTGTCATGTTCCTCTCTCTTCTCCTTGCCATGTTCCTTTCTCTTCTCCTTGTCATAGTTCTCTCTCTCTCTATCTTCTCTTTGTCATGGTTCTCTCTTTTGTTTGTCATAGTTCTATTTATTTTTGTCCTGGCCCTCTCGTCTCTTTTTCATGGTTCTCTCTCTTCTCTTTGTTATGGTTCTGTTTCTTCCCTTTGTCATCTCTCTCTCTCTCTCTCTCTCTCTCTGATCTTTGTCGTGGTTCTCCCTCTCTCTTTCCTTGCCATGGTTCTCTCTTCTCCTTATCATGGTTATCTCTTCTCTTTACTATAGTTTTCTCTTCTTTATATCATGGTTCTCCCATCTCTTTACTATGGTTCTCTCTTCTCGTTGCCATTGTTCTCTCTTCTCCTTGTCATGGCTGTCTCTTCTCTGATGTCATGACTCTCTTTTCCCTTTATCGTGATTCTCTCTTCTCTTTACCATGATTATGTCTCTTCTCTTTGTCAAAGCTCTCTCTTCTTTTTGTCATGGTTCTCTCTCACTTCTCTTTGTCATGGTTCTTTATTTTCTCTTTTTCATGGTTCTGTCTCTTCTCGTTGCCATGGCTCTCATCTCTTTACCGTTGTTCTGCATCTTCTCTTTGACATGGTTCTGTCTTTTTTGGTCATGGTTCTCTCTCTTCTCTTTGTCATATTTCTTTCTCTTCTCTTTCTCGCGGTTCTCTCTCTCTTCTCTTCATAATGGTTCTTTCTTGTCTCTTTGTCATGGTTCTCTCTCTTATCGTTATCATGGTTCTCTCTCTTTTCTTTGTCATTGTTTTGTCTCTTCTCTTTGTCATGGTTTTGTCTCTTCTCTTTGTCATGTATTTCTCTCTTCACTTTTACATAGTTCTTTCTCTTCTCTTTGTCACGGTTCTCTGTCTCTTCTCTTTGTCATGATTCTCTCTTTCTTGTCTTTATTATGGTTCTTTCTGTTCTCTTTACCAAGGTTCTCTCTCTCTCTCTCTTCTCTTTACTATGTTTCTCTCTTTTATTTTTGTTTTGTTTTTCTCTTCTCTTTGCCATTGTTATCTCTTCTTTGCAATGGCCATCTCTTCTCTTTGCCATGGTTATCTATTCTTTGCCATGTTTATATCTCCTCTTTGTCATGGTTCTCTTTCTCTCTCCTAATCTGTTGCCATGGTTCTCTCTTCTTTACCATGGCTATCTCTTCACTTGTCATTGTTTTGTTTCTCTCTCTTTCTCTTTTGTCATGGTTCTCTCTTCTCTTTTCAGTAGTTCTGTCTTCACTTTGCTTTGGTCTTTTTTCTCTTTCTCTCTCATTTGCTATTGGTTTCTTTCTCTTTTGTCATGGTTCTCTCTACTTTACCGTGACTCTCTCTTCTTTGCCATGGCTATCTCTTCTCTTTGCCGTCTCTCTCTCTCTCTCTCTCTCTCTCTCTCTCTCTCTCTCTTTTGTCATGGTTCTCTTTTCTTCTTGCAGTGGTTCTCTCTTCTCTTTGTCATAGTTACCTAATTTGTTGTTGTTGATGCCCTATTGACTCACTGCCTACTAAAAAGCATGTCGTAAGAGTTGACTAATTGGGAGCTTCCTTCGAAGTCGGAGTATATATGCAAGGAACCAAAAGTCTGCACACAAATGAGTCAGATCTGTCAAACAGATGCACACGCAATACTCAGGTTCTGAAATAGGACTGCAGTTCAGAAGTGGACGAACAACAAAAATTTTCCGCCGGAGTTTACAGCTAGTGAACGCGAAGAAGAAGAAGACTTATAATTTCAGTATATCCTGGATTGGTCACCTTTCACCTTTGGAGAAATAGGATCTGTTCTCTCTCTCTGCCCCACACACCCCCACCCCCCGCAATCGGTCGCATGGGGTCTCAGAGTCTACACTAGGTTATTTGGACATAAGAAATTGACCTTAATGGTTTAAATCCACAGGCATTGATCAGTCTGCTGAAAGGCGAGCGGTTCAAAACCTGCGAGAGCATCTTGATTTACTGCTCGCGGAGGGAGCACACGGAACGGGTGGCCACGCTCATCAGAACATCTATGCAGACTATGGTGGATCTCAATGGTAAGTGGTGATTGTCTGGGTGGCTCTGTGAGAGTGTTTCAGTATTTCTCTCCGTTGTCGCTCACTTTAGACTTTGGTGGATCTCAATGGTAAGTGGTGATTGTCTGGGTGACTCTGTGAGAGTGTTTCAGTATTTCTCTCCGTTGTCGCTCACTTTGGACTTTGGTGGATCTCAATGGTAAGTGGTGATGGTCGGGGTGGCTCTGTGAGAGTGTTTCAGTATTTCTCTCCGTTGTCGCTCACTTTAGACTTTGGTGGATCTCAATGGTAAGTGGTGATGGTCGGGGTGGCTCTGTGAGAGTGTTTCAGTATTTCTCTCCGTTGTCGCTCACTTTAGACTTTGGTGGATCTCAATGGTAAGTGGTGATGGTCGGGGTGGCTCTGTGAGAGTGTTTCAGTATTTATCTCCGTTGTCGCTCACTTTAGACTTTGGTGGATCTCAATGGTAAGTGGTGATGGTCGGGGTGGCTCTGTGAGAGTGTTTCAGTATTTCTCTCCGTTATTGCTCACTTTAGACTTTGGCGGATCTCAATGGTAAGTGGTGATGGTCGGGTCGTGGTGGGGTCTGGATGGTTATGTGAGAGTTTCAGTGTTTCTCTCCGTTGTTGTTCTTTTTAGACTTTGGTGGATCTCAGTGATATCGGTTGATGGTCTGGTCGTGTTTGGGTCTTGGTGGCTCTGTGAAAGTGTTTTAGAATTTTACTCCGTTATTGCTCACTTTAGACTTTGGTGGATCTCATTGGTAAGTGATGAGTGTATATGTGGCTCTGTGAGAGTGTTTCAGTATTTCTCTCCGTTATTGCTCACTTTAGACTTTAGTGGGTCTCAATGGTAAGTGATGAGGGTCTGTGTGGCTCTGTGAGAGTGTTTCAGTATTTATCTCCGTTGTCGCTCACTTTAGACTTTGGTGGGTCTCAGTGGTAAGTGATGATTCTCTGGGTGGCTCTGTGAGAGTGTTTCAGTATTTGTCTCCGTTGTCGCTCACTTTAGACTTTGGTGGGTCTCAATGATAAGTAATAATTTTCTGGGTGGCTCTATGAGAGTCTTTCAGTATTTATCTCCGTTGTTGCTCACTTTAGACTTTGGTGGGTCTCAGTGATAAGTGGTGATGGTTTGGTCGTGTTTGCGTGTGGGTGCCTCTGTCAAACTGTCAGTATTTATCTCCGTTTTTGCTCACTTTCACTAATTCACCGCCAGGCAGCTCACTCAGTGTTACTTGATGAACAGCATTCATTTTCTTCACTTATGTCCCAACACTTTTATCGGGAATCTCCCCGGCGAAGTGGCCTAGCCGTTTGCCTCGTATTTTAGATGTCGTAACGCTTCGTTTCAGGGATCCCTCGTTCGGTTTACGAGTGCAATTGTCTTCTGGGGCTACTATGAATTGTCGCTGGAGCTACGGAATTCTTACTTTATGCGACGCCTCTGGATGATAAGAACAAACTAAACTTTTTTTTTCTAGGGTCACATATTGGATACGCAGACCTATGGTAAAATCGGTCCTTCCAGACTTCCATCTTTCATACAGTTGTAAGTTAATCTACAAAGCATGTTATGTTTATATTCCAAAAGGCATGGTTTGAGTATATGGTTTTAAAAAAATGGATGGTAAATACATCGAATGTCCACATCCAGAGACCGCACTGGCCCGAGTGTTGGGACCAAACAGATAAAGTCATGCCTGACGAAGGATTCTCCATTCTGTCGTGCTAACGGCACGTTAAAGATGTCAAAGGTGCGACGAAAAGGAATGTTCTTATTCCTGTGGTCACAAAAGTCCAGAACCCGCGGGCTGCTCCCCGATGATCTCCGGAGGGCGCAGCCCATGTCAAGCAGAAGGCTTAATATGGTTGTGAGGTTGAGCAGTCATGTGCAGGACGTGACGATTCCTTGGATGAGCCCAGAACGAGAGCGTCAAATGTCGGCTGTGCATTTATGGAAGCCTCCTTGGATGGCGGGGTATGCCCATGATCTGCCCCTGCCTTTTATGAGGGTTAAACGTTTCACATAGGACTGCCCCAAAGGGAGTACTCCGGGGGCAACACCTGTAGAGAAAGTGATAAAGAGGACACCACACAAATCAGGCAACATCTCGACCCACACAAAACAATGGCCACAGTCATCCTAAAAATAGGACTGATGTCTTCCCTCGAAGTCGGAGTACATCTGCCCGTGAGGCAGGTGAACGGCAAAAGCCATTGAAACGGTTGTACACGCAAAACTCATGTCCAGGTAAAAGCCAAAAGTCCGCAAGTGTCACCAGAAGGACTTATGTGTCGCATCTGTGCTGTAAACAGCAAAGCACCAAAAGCGGTACTGTCTTTTTTTTTTTCAAAAAAGGAGAAAAAAATGAAAGGAGGAACAGCAGAAGAAGAAGAAGACGCAGAAGAAGAAGAGGGTGATTGAGAACGAACGAAATTTACATCTAAAGGGTCCAAATTTGCCAGGCAGGCCCGTTTTACATTCGGACCTTCCAAACACACAGTCTTGTATTCGACCCTTTTAAACATCATCTTTCACTGCATTTTTTATTTTATCTCTAAAGTATGTAGTATATATATATATATATATATATATATATATATATATATATATATATATATATATATATATATATATATATATATATATATATATATATATATATATGTTTTTGTGTTTGTTTATAACCTATAGACTCGAAAACTACTGAATCGATTTAGCTGAAATTTTCAGGATATGTTTGTTTTGATACCGGATGTTTACCCATCATGGTTCGAAATTTAACCTGACATTGGTAGAGATAGGTGACCACAATTTTTGGAAAAATCTTCGAAACTAATATTTCAATTTTTAGTGACATTTAATTATAGCCACGTTAGTAAATGCGCATGCGCCGTAGTCAGAACGCAAGACCCACCATTCGCCGGCGAGATACGTACAGCCAACGCCTTCTCTAATAAATATAGTAGGCCGTGGTACAACAAACAAGACTATCTCTATATCTGTGCAGGCAATGATTGCCACAATAACCATATTAGACACGATTTCTATTTTCTGCCTTTTCAAACAACCTTCGATGAGTTGGAGAGTAGCTGATGGATTGGAAAGGGGAGGGGGCATCATGGACTATCTCGACGTCTGCGCGGACAATGATTGCGACATTAACTGTGTTAGACACGTGCCATTTCTATTGTGTCATTTCAATAATATATCTGGAATATCTGTCTATGAGAAAACAATTGTCTGCCGTTTTGAGTTGTGTTATAATCGGGACACAGTAGTAGGAACACACATCTCAGATAGTTTTGTTCTCTTTTCGCTGTTCCGATGGAGTGGTTGCTTGGTCGAATGGTTAGAACACTGGGCCCCTTTGCGGGAGACCAGGGTTCGAATCCGCAGTAGTTTTTTTTTTTTACCCGGGGGCAAAAAAAAATCCTCACCTGCACTGTCGTGGCGACAGCACTAGCCATATGGCCCTTAATACTAAAAAAAAAAAAAAAAAAGACAGGTATGTGGGTAAACCAGTTGATAATTAAATTTGACCATTTCGCATACTTATGATTTCATTTTAAACTTTCCGATTGCATGGTTACGCTGACATTTTATAGCTTTCCATTTATTTTCATTTAGAATTATTTCATCTGCGTTGGAATTTTAAGCTGTGCTGTTTACCATAGCGTTCATTTCCTAATTATGGTGTATTTTTCCTGTTTTCATTGCTTTTTCAAATTTTTTTCCCTCCCAACTACTACGATGAGGGAAAGAGTAGTCGGTGAATTGGGGGGGGGGGGGGGGGGGGGGGGGGCCGCACTCTTTACTGAGAGAGCTTTAAGTCACAGTAACTGCCTTACCCAATCAAAGTAGCAGCAGCAGTAGTAGTTGTGGTTGGGCGGTTACACCGTAGTACTCTCATGCGAAGACCGCCGGTAAGGTTATGGCGTTCTTTTGTCGGGGAGCGAAATTATGCATCCTAACCTGACCAGTCCGGGGCGACAGCACCAGCCATGCGGCGCCAAATTTTCTGGCTCACGACTCCCTGTCTACTCCGATGGTAAAACAGATAGCAGTGACATTATTTTAACTACTGTGGTGGTGGTCGTGTTAGTAGTTGTACTAGTACTTGAAGGGTGATGTTGCAAATATTAAACTAGCCCCATTTACTACCTATTACAATTCCTGCTCCCCATTTTAGTCCGGATGGACAGGGATGTCAATGTCAGTTACAAAAAAAAAAAAAAAAAAAAAAAAAAAAAAAAACACGCCAGGTGATGATTTTCAAATCCTTCGAAGAGGGAGAGAGTAGTAGTCAGTGGATGAGATGGAGGGGGATAATGACTGAAATTGTTAACTTAAAGAGCTTAACATATGATTTTAAAGTTCTCATTAGGTAATTTGTTTATATTTTACTAACGCTTCCTCCGCTATTCTAATTTTTTTACCACTTACTTTGTTATTTACAACTACAGTAGTAGCTTTACTTCCGTCTCCTATAAAAATACAAACCGGTTTAGGATGAAATAACCAAATAACTATTTTTGTTACTGTGCTTATAACACCATTTAAACGACCACTAATATAAAGACACAATTACATGGTGCGTAATCTAAAGTTGGAAAACCAGACTATCTCTATATCTGTGCAGAGAATAATTGCGACATTAACTATATTAGACATGTGCAATTTCTATTGTCTTTCTTTTCCAAAAACCTTTTAATGAGGGAGAGAGTACTAGGTGGATATAGTGGTGGTCGGGGGGGGGGGGGGGGGGGGGGGTTTCAAAGACTATCTTTATATCTTAGCAGACAATGATTGCGACAATAGCCATATAAGACATGTGCGATTTGAATTTTCTTTCTTTTCCTTTTAGCCAAACTATGCCACAGCAACGCGTGGCCGGGTACAGCTAGTATATATATATATATATATAAATATATATAATATATATATATATAGTATATATATATATATATATATATATATATATATACACACACACACCACAGACAGACAGACAGACA